ATTGTATAAAAAAATACCAGCATCCGGCTCTGAATTGTCCTCTTGTCCTTGTCGCTAATGTCCTTCCAAGCATCGTGGAATGGCTCGCATATGTCCCTGGTATGAATACCAACTACACTATCACACAAGGACAGCTGATATGGCCAGCTAATATGGAAGGGCTCGCTAATGTCCTTCCATGTACTATACAATAGATCAAAACCAAATCGATGTATATGCGCTCTCACAGTTTCTACTAGATGCATTTCATGGTTTCTACATTTCACACAAGGACAACTGATATGGCCAATTGAAGTTGCATAAGATTTGGCGACCTCAATAAAAGCAGATAACGCATTCCAATATTCATCCGACAATCGGTTCCTCAAATAAATCCAACTTTTGTCAATCGACATTTCAACTATAAACAACAACAGACATAACAATTTATTAATGTGTTTAATTAATTTAAATTTTACTCTTTATTAACACAATTAAATTTTATTTATTAAAATTTGTTAATGAACTTATTAAAATTCTCATTTTCTAACTAAATTTCGGCAGCATAATGACTTATTTTTCATATGATCCAAAAATCAAAACCTACAGAAAAACAACTTTAAAAGATTTCAGCACACCATAGCTGCAAGATGTGCCACCCAGAACAAGAATCATAAACATATACTAAATTTTAACAATATAAGAAAATCATATTTCAAATATTGTCATCATAATCCGGAATTCATACAACCAAAAACTACAACAATTTTAAACTAAATAAATATAAAAACTTACAAAGTTCAAACCCACTAAACGGGTGCTGAAAATAGCAGGATTACATCAGAGGAACCGTGCAAACAGTGACGAAGGCGAAAAATCAAACGCCTACATCAAATTAAAACATCTAACATAATTTTCAAACACCAAAATTAACATTTTATTAACATCTAGAGTAACATATAGACACAATTCTTAATTAATCAATGCAAGTTTAAATTTTCACATTCACGGAACTATAAAAAATGACTAAACTCGAACAAAATTTCCAAACAAAATCTCTAATATTCAACTCCTAGAGCATCTAAATTCTCGTAACTCAATCGAAACACATACTCAATCCTAACTCAATCCGTTTTCTTCTTCCATTTTCTCAGCAACCAAACAAAAATTACAAAAAGAAAATAAAGGAGAAAACCCACCTCTCTGCAATCCTGGCGGGGGCAGGGCGGCGGGAGCAGTGGCGGCGGCCAGAGAGGGGAAGGAGAGAGGAGGGGTCGGGAGGGAGGGGAGAGAGAAAGAAGAGAGAGAGGAGAGGGAGAGAGAGAGAGAGAGAGAGAGAGAGAGAGAGAGAGAGAGAGAGAAGGGAAGAGGGAGAGAAAGAAGGGAAGAGAGAGAAGCGAAGAGAGAGAAGGGGAGGCCGGCGGCGGGGGCAACGGCGGCGGCGATGAGAATAGGAGGTAGAGAGAGAGAGATTTTGCAGGAGAGAGAGAGTGTCGGGGGAAAATGAAGAAGAAGAAGATAGGGTATATTATGTCAGATTTATTTGCGACGACATTGTCGTCGCGAATAAATTTAAAATGTCGTCACAAATAATAAACAGCTGTCAATTATTTGCGACGACATTATCTCATCACAAATAATTTTGAAGTCATCGCAAATAATCATTTTTCCCACGCCTACTTTTTCGTGAAATCTTAAAAAGATTATTTGTGACGACAAAGAGACATTGTCGTCGCAAATAACCTAAACTATTTGCGACGACAAATGTCGTCACAAATAGTAAGAGATTTGCGACGACTCATTGTCGCAAAAAAATAGATTACCTTGGCGCCAAAAATCCGCGCCATTGAAATTTACGTGCCAAAATTATTTGCGATGACATGTAAGTTATTAACGACGACATGATTATTTTATTTAACGGGGAGTAATTACGACGACATGTCGTCACAAATATGGTATTATTTGCGACGACAAATGTCGTCGCAAAAAAAGTCGTCGCAAATGACCTTTATTGTTGTAGTGATATATGATGAGGTAGACAATAAGGAAAAAGTAAAAATAAAATAAAAATAAAAATCACAAAACATTGTTTTACGTAACAGTTTAATTTACCTAAATTTTAGCCTTACTAGCAATTCCAGCTATGCCTTGTTAAAAACGTTCTAGTCAAAATTCAAGCTAAGAAAAAAAAACAGTACATAATTCGACTATTTACAAAACTGCTCAGTGACTAATATCAAATGCACAAATTCATAATAATGATATTTAAAATGTTAAATTTACTTTGTTTTATAATCCTTAAGCTTTGAAAATTGTAAAAATAAACTTTTCTTTTAAAAAAATTAAAAATGGAAAAATTACTATGATTACATGAAAAGGTAAACATTTCAATTAATAATAATTAAATGTGAATTTTGTAGCAATTAAATACATAAATTCTCTTCGCTTTTTTACATTTTTTGAAATTATATGGACTAGAAACTGAACGCATTGCCGCGCCTTCGTCACTTCATTCCGCATTTTGCGGATTTCTTAGATTTAGATTTAACCTCTTTTTTTTAAATAAAATAAAAGTTAATTGAAAAAGAAAAAAACAGAAGGATCTTGCAAACATATATAAATCATAAGATCGATTTAAGCACACCACACTAGAGCTTATTATTTTATTACTACAAGAAGTTGAGGCCTGTTTATTTTATTACATACACGCAACATATATATATATATATATATAGTAGCAAATTACTAGCTTTCTCTTGATATCATGATCAGAAAGCTCATAACATATGATGATTTATTCGATCTCGTCCCATTATATATTACATTATACCTGATCGATAGGCATTTTGAGTATCCCGTACTTTGGATTCCTAAGAGTAACCCCATAAGGCCTTTGATTATAGCAATTTAAGTTATCCCCAGGGCTCACTCCCACCAAGCCGCCACAATACCTCTCAAAGAAGCCAATTCTATCTTCCACCCTAGAATCAGTACCATGGCCGCATTCTAGACCTCCATTGATAATGTTGGTGGTCAAACCGTAGCCCGGAAGTCGGTTGGCTCCCATGTCAGCTTGACTTGGCGTCCATTGGCCGGTGATAACACCGTGGCATGAAGGTTTGGGGGCCTTCAACATCTATACTGCCGAGCACCGGTTATCATTCCAGTATTTCAACATCTGATCAAGCAACGATCTACACTGCCGACGTCGCCGCTACTCAAGGTTGGTGTAGAGGGTGTCGCCGGCATTGAACCGCCACATTGGCTTTGGCAGTTCTTTCCACATTAGGGGTCTGTGGAGCCACACCACCCATATGCGCTGCAACACAAATTATTGGGACATCAACTGCCTCCCGCTTGTCTTCCACATTTCTTTTTCTTTTTCAAATTTCCTTGATTTTTAGTATTTTGAAAAGATTGAGAGATTGCTTTGGCATTTATAGATCATGATATGCACAGAAAGAGTTAGCTTTTAGCTTAAGAAAATTCAAAAAAGATGGCGGACTTTTGTTTCCATTAATTCTGTTTTCGCATATTCTTCAAGATGTCTAAAAAGTCAAAGTAATAATGCCCATACTCGTGACCAATGCCCATACTCCAAACTGCCCAAATATCTTCTTGCATTTTTTTATTCTTGAATTAATTTAGAAAAAAAATATCTTCTTGATTTGCTACCTAAGTGCTTTTGTCTCTTTATGAGACAATAATATTTAAAACTACTTTATTAATGGGTCATAACAACTAAAGTCTAGCGAAGGTCAAAAGTCACATTAGTCTAAATCAAATTTAACAAACCGATAAGAGGTATAATTTTAATTTCACTGCGGATATTAATGAAAATCGTTCTCGAAGTGCTAAATAAGAGTCTTAATTGGTAATCTTTCGTCATTATACCACTACTACCAGTCGTAGAATCAATACGTATATACACACATGAGGGGAATGTTATAAAAATACACCTGATCTTTTCTGTGTTTTTTTGTTTTAGAATTAATGGAATACAATATTTTAAATACTTCAAACTTCTGAAATCCGAATGACACGAGGATGAATGTCCATAAATTGACTAATATCGGTCGTAGTATAATTCCAACAGGCTGCTTGGATAAAAGTAGTATAAAATCATGTAAAGGATATGCATTTTTTTTTCTTTTTCGATTTAGTCAAACAAGTTGGGTAAAATTATTGTTGGAAACACAACATTTTATCTTGTAGTATTTATTGAACAAAACATTGATGCTAAAGCTTTTCCGTATTTGCTCTTAAATTTTCTTCTTTATCAGAATGGGCGTAGGATTAAATGAAATTTTCAGTTGCCAGAATTTGAGATGGGATATCCATAAAAGTCGTTTATATTTAACGTGCGATTCAGAAAACAATATGTAATTCACAAATTGAGAATTTAAAACGCATGTCGTAGACATGTCGCGATTTAAGGGGACGACGTGCCGTGTGTTGTAAGTGAAACCAAGCGTTATGTATATCTTAGAAAAACACCATGTAATTTATAGAATCGGTTTGCCGTGTTGATCTTTTATATTTGAATCGATAAGTCATTTCTATCTGATTGCATGTTTTGGTGATGTTGTTCATGAAAACTACATGTCATTCATATCTGAAGGATGTTGTGATCATTCTAAAACGACATGACATTTTTCCCAACGCTTTGCCATTCCTTCACCTCCAACAAATTTATATTGTATATATAGAAATCAAGGAAGCGGATCATTCTTGTCACTAGTTTTTTAACTTTTTTTTTTTTCTTTGTAAAATTATTCTTTCAGCTGTCTCTCTACTCTGCACGGTTCTGTCTTACGCGGAAATAAGGCTCACTTTCAATGTGACGAAGTTATAAAATCAATGTATCATTCAAATAAAAACAAAAAACAAAAAGATATATATAAAACCATATATTAAGATGAGAAAAAAGGAACTTTCCCATTACATATTATTCAGTGGACTTTATTTAGTGGAGCCGGATCAAGAGATCATTCTCTTTTTAATATTTTAAGATAAGATAATCATTTAGGCGAAAGGACTTTGACTATAACAATCCAAGTTGTTCCCAAATAACTCACTCGCAATATGTCACAGTACCTTTTATAGAAACCGATCCTATCAGCCACCCTAGCATCTTGACCCTTCCCACACTCCAATCCACCGTTGATTATGTTCGTGATCACACCGTAGCCCGGAACCCGACCTGCTGACCGGTCAGCATCGGATGGTGTCCATCTTCCTATGATCACGTTGTGGCTAGACGGCTTGTTTTCTTGTGGTGTCATCCAGAACCATATAGCTGTATTGAATGATATGATTGGGTTTGTGGCAAGTAAATTCGGGTTGTTTATCAAGTCAAACCCCAATTGCTTGACCTGCTTGTCGATAATTGTAGTCACTGGAAGAAATTAAATCAACTGACCAAAAAATTGTAAAAAGCTTCAAACTTGTTTGAGTTTTTAGAATTTGCCTACTAGTTAATTTATAAGCAACAAATTATTAGTATACAATGAACACTACTACACAAGTTTATTTAATTAGAGCTAGCTACTAGATGCTCATATTCTTTGTTTGTAGATGTATTTTTGTATTAGACAAGTAACACGGAGATATTCGTGTGATTTGATCGGAAAGAGGAAGATAAAACTTAATAACAAATTAAGAATTACTATATTAATACGTACTGAGTGAGTTGGATTAGAGGTGTCAAATAGGTCAGGCCGTCTATGGCCGTAACAGTGTTGGGTTCGGCATGGCCCGGTACGGTATTGTTACGGGTCATGCTGGCCTGGTACGTTTGATGGGCTAGGGCTAGGCCGCGACTTCTCAACCCGCGGCCCGGCCCAAGCCCAATTCAGCCCGCAAAATGCCCTTGATCGGCCCGGCCCAAGCATGTGTTCGGCCCGCGAAACAGCCTGCCAGAAGCCATCCCAGCCCGCCAGGTTTGTGACCGTTGGGCCCGCGAAGGGCCTAACAGTCACAAACTAAAAATTTGCCTCAAAAATCCCCTATAAATACCCCTTAATCCCACTCTAAATCCCACACAACAATCCACTCTCAACTTCTCATCTCACTCTCATTCTATCTCTCATCTTGTCTCTTTGATTTTGATTCTAAGCTTTTCTCTCGCGATCACTCATTTTCTTGCTTTTTCATTTACAAAGTTCAATCAATTTCCAGAAAATTACTGCATCAAATTTTTCTGATTTCACTGCTCTTCCTATGCTTGGTGATGAAGCATTTTTTGAGGATGAAAAGTTAGCTCACAACCCCACCCCCACAGAACTGGAAACAGCTCCAGTTGATAATGCTTCAGTGCAAAACGAGGAAGTTGGATAGCGTAGCAGGGGGAAAAAGACCACGAACTGCTCCGGCATGGTAGCATTTCACAGAGGAGCCCCTACCAAATCTAAACACAGGTGAAATAGAAATTCGCGCGGTATGTAAATATTGTAAAAAGTATTTTTTTAATAAAAAGTGTTGAGTACTAGTCATCTGGATAGACAGTGGAAAGCATGCCTACTGTTGCAGCAAGGTGGGAGTGTGGACTCTCGTCAACAAACACTATCACTCACATAACAAGGGTTGTAAAATTTTACATACAATGCATAACGTACTCGTGAGGCACTAGCCAAATTTTTAGTTAGTGCTGAATTACCTTTTTCTTTTACACATGATGCGGCATTTGAATAGTTCATACAGACGGCCTTCTGTCCGCAGTTTAAACGAGTAAGTAGAAACACAACTCATTCTATTTGCATGAAAGTGTTTTATGTAATGAGACAATCATTAGTTTGATAAGTTTAGATCTAACACATATAGTCTTAACGAGAAAAGTTGAGATCATAGGCAACTAGCACACCCCAATTACTAGGTTGACACTCACTATTAACTTAATTTTCTATCAAATTCTCCACTAGAATATTATTAATAAAGAAACGAACACGAGAGTTTGAATAAAAAGGACAAAATACACCAAAAGGCCAAAACAAGGGCTAGGAAAAGTAAGATAATAGTGCATTAAAACTTATCTTTTTTCATCATGACATCAAAAAATGTAGATGATTGATATTCGCATTTTTAATACAATGTTAAATTGATGTGCTAATATTAAAATTTCTCATTTGAGTGAAAATTCACTGTAATGTTATTATTTATACTAGATTCACAATGAATTTGCAACCAAGTATAACAAATGCCAAATATGACATTTGATTGCAACAAGTTTAAACAAGTTTATACTTGTAAATTTTCGGATCAAACCTCACCTGAGATTAGGACGTTGCAACAAGTTTAGCCAATTAATTTCACTCATAATATACACTGCAAAAGAAAAAAAAAACACAATATACCCTGCAAAAGGAAAAAGAAAATCATTTGTAGGAACTTCTGCAGTCCATAACTAGATTTTTTTTTTTAATAAATGATTAGAAGGAGCAACTAACAATAAAGTGCAACAGGACATTCTAACTAGGTTCATACTCTTAAATCACAAATCCTCCACGAAGCTTCTCACTCTACTTAATAAATAATAAAGAAAAATTCGAACAAATAAAGAGGAAAAAATAACAGAAAATCGCACGCATGCTCAAGAAAAGAAATGCACAAAGGCATCAAGAAACAAAACCAAACCAAACCAAAAAAGGTCAGTCGCGAATTGGTCCAAAGGCCCAAGCCCAATTCTAGCCTTGCTAGAATTCCAGCCCAATTCTGGCAAGGTTAGAAATTCCAACCATGCCTTACTAAAACCTTCCGTTCAAAATCCAAACTAGAAGGAAAAAAAACAAAAAAAAAAGGTGCATAGTTGGACTAGTTACACACCATTTCTAAGTGAATTCCTTAAATTTTAGTTAAAATGATTAGAAAGCTATTTTAATTAGCAATTATTGAGTGAGTCACTCTAACTATACTTTATATTTTAACTTAGTATAAATTATTTAAATATTTATTAAATTTGAAATATAAATAACTTTATTGAGCTTAAAAAAAACCTTGCATTTACTACTATTTGAAAGAATAAAAACAATAGGAAAGATTAAAGGGATTGTCTATTCTTGCTAGTTAATTGACTAGTGTGAAATACATTTTTTAAAGTAGCTAATCATTTAGTTAATGATTGGAGTGCAGAAAAGTCAAAATAAAAAAAAAAAAAAGTTAAATCATTAACTATTTTGGTTAAAGACATGTTCTAAGACGTTTGGTTCACAGATTTAGAATCATGATTCAGAATCATTTTCGGTGTACGTGTGTTTTTTGTAAGAGAAAACACTATAGCGAGTTACGAATCATAATTTGAGTCATGACATGAATCCTCATACGAAACTATAATTAGAAATGCTCTTACAAAGCTATAGTTCGAGAATCCTGAAATGTGGTCACTCATATATGAGTCATGCAGAAGTACTTTTGATTTGCGTAAAAGAAGTAGCATTCAAATAGGTGAGCATACTAATCCATCTAGCTTTAAACAGCTTACAAGGCAGAAGTACTTTTGGTGAGACAATGGTGAACAAAAAGAATTAGTTTATCAATAAGGTTTTTGGTGAGACCAGGTCACAGAAAAACGTACAAATCATCAACGATCTATATGTGGTACTTAGCAGCACCTTTAGTGCCCCATAACATCATTCAAATAACGAACTCACTTTTGCAAAGTGGCCAATATACATGTGTTCCTACACGGATGTTCCATACCAAATACCCTCAACCACACTTTTTTTTTTTAACCGATGCCCACTTCATTATTCTTTCTAAAATCCAAAAAGAAATCAGAATTAGTGGAAAACCAACCATAGTACACCAGCAAGTTGTATTGTATCAGTTACAATAGCAGAAAATACATATGATATGATTAGTTTTTTTCTTTTTTTCAAAGAACTATAGAGTAATCAGAGAGCTTTTTCTTCTTTTTTTTTTTTGGTTTAAAATTTGCATAAAAAAGGTTTAAGACATCCCAAAGATTAATACCTAGCTAGCAACTCAACCACTCAAACCATGTCAAGCTCCCACTTACTATGTTGACTAAAAAGAACTTAGAAAAAGCTAACTACAATTATAAGAGTAAACTAGCTAGTTCAAAGGACGACAAAAAAAAAGGTGGGAAATATTTGTTGGACAAATGAGGCGTGGTGGACGAACGAGGGACGAAGGAGGCTGTCGACTCGAAAATAATAATTAAATTAATGCCTCGCGAGGGCTTAAAAGTCCAAATGTAATTAAAACAATCTGACTACAAAATCTTTTACAATATCAGGACTGTACAGTATAGTTTTTATAAAACAATTACAGAAATACTGAAACTTAAACAACTAATACCTTATGTTAGCTTATAGAAATCTCTGAGAGCCACTAACATGTTCGGTAACCCAAATTCATAACTCTAACTTAGCTAGTTCCACACAATTTGGGAGGAGAAAAATTTTAATCCCTAAAACATGAGTGAAAGACTCAGTAGAATATTTCTTTAAAAATGCCGTTATTTTTGAAACCTAAGCTGTTAAAAACCAATTTTCAAAACCACATTTTTCAGTAAATAAACTGATAAATAAATAAATAATGCAGATTCAATAAACATGTAGATATAAAAATAAAAATAACAATGCCAACAATGCAATTGGTGTCCCTACTATTAACTTATAGTAGTGTGTAATATTCCAGGGCCATTGCCAACAAATACTGAGGTTGTTCTCCCGATTAGAAAAGTACACTTTCGTACCGTGTGTGCAATCTGACCTATCCAAGTATAAAATTTAAAATACCTAAAAACCATTTCTGAAACTAAGGAAAATATAAAAATATTCAATATCCATAATTGGTATATACTCTGTTGACAGTGGAAATTCGTCAACAGAAATAAACCGGATTTTAACGTGATTAATGCGTTGTGAATGAGTAAAAACAAGATTAAAAGACCTTAATTAATAAGAACACACATATTTATAGTGGTTCACCCTTTGTTCAAAAGCTACGTCTACTGTGAGGATGAGAAATTTACTATGTTCTAGAAAAAAATGTTATAGATCCCCTTCTGAGTTTGAATTATATATATATATATATATATATATATATATACCCCTTCACATCCTCTGTAATTTTTCTTGTTTTATTCCAGGATATTTTCCCACATTCTGGGGTAATATCTCCAGTCAGTTGGAATTTCTGCCAATTAGTAGGATTTTCACACTTACTTCCCTACTGGCTTCGCTTATTTTAATTACAAATCACAAATCTCGGGTGAAATCCTGCATCTCTCTCTATTTGCATGGGCTCAACTTCATATGCCTCTTGTTGTTTTCAACTCCTCGAAGCATTCGACCGCCAATGTATGTCATTCCCTTCACTTACGTTCTACTTCTAAGATGTGCATTGTCTGACGTGGCAGTTAGGAGTGAGCTGTCTCTGGTAACTTAATGTCTTCATTTATGACGCGTGGACCCCATCTAATGTCTGGGTCAAGGTTAATTTGGACTTTTTACCCTACAACATACTCAACTCTTGGAATTCTTTTTCCGAAGCCACAATAATTTTCAAAATATCAATTCTGTAAATCATGATGGGTGTGTTTGGAACTTGTTCCAAAATAATTTTATTTTTTGTATAAAAATCAAAATGAAAACGTTTTCAATCTCAAACATAAATTATTTTTAAAAATGCATTTGGTAGTTTTATCAAAAGATTATTTTTAGTATAAAAAAATCCATTAATGTCTCTCTTTCTCTCTCTACTCAAGAGAGGAGAATACGGAAACAAAAAATGAAAAACAACTAAAAGTCGTTTTTCATTTCTCTCCCATTTTACACTAAACTAAAAAATCATTTTCATTTCCGTTTCTTGTATTTAATTGTATCAAATGTCATTTCTCTCTAATTTTTATTTTTTTCCTCAAAAAACGTGAAAAACAAAAACAACTCCAAACACAGGCGATATTTCTCAAATCATTTATAAAGTCATTTGCTTAAAGTAATACTGTATCCAAATTAAATTCTTAAAAATAAAGGCCAACAAAGAAAGGATTCGGATATCCTACCTCTTTGGCATAAATTTTACTGACGAATTTCTTCAGTGTTGACGTTAGCCCGACGTTTGCCCGACGTTTGCCCGTTTCCGCTTTAACTGTCCCATGATCCTTTATTAAATAATTCAACGATTCAATCACTTCCCTTAACCTGGTTTCTCAGTTTTTTTCAACAAAGACTTCAAGTTTCCCCTTACGCTTGATGAGTTCTAATGAAGAAATTAAAACAAAGATGGGTTTCTCAATTCTAAAGGTTTGAGTTTCTCTAGTAAAAGGAAGGGGCTAGTTCTCTGCAAACAATGAGGGAAAGAAGGGAAGAAAGAAGCGTGAAAAGGAGACTAATGAAATGAGTAAAAATGAGAG